GTGTGATGGAACAACATCAAAAAGGTGCAAACTGAGGCAGAAGGCGCGCCCTGAAGCTTTTAATCCGGGGAAACATTGATTCAGCCTTTTATTTCATTAAAATATCTTTTATTGTTTTAATTAAATAAAAAAAATGTAATCTGTCCTCAGAATCCCTGGGAATAGTTACATATTCTGTATATGAAAGATGGATGTAGATGCTGTGATGTCACTCATTGCATTCTGGATTCTGCATTTTGTAGCTTCAGAATTTGTGTTTTAGAAGCTTTTTTTCTTGTGATTTTTGAGACAGAAATGACCCTATGTGGATGAGAAGGAAAAGTCTTGGTGAACTGTAAATGTCAGAGTCCTTCTAGAAGCAGTTATCACCTGTTGGAAACTATCTTGAAACTCCCCATGACATTTATTTGATCAGTTATTAACTTTCGTTTGAATACTCTGAGGTCTATCAATATTAGTAACGCACCATAGTACCATAATAACACAGTTACCTCTAAGCAGTACAAAAATTTAACCCAATACCCATAAGTCAGATGTTAAGAGGTCCAGTTCAGTGACAGGTGCTTACTACAGGTGCTGATGAAAGTAACCATGATCATAATTATAAACCTGGGTTTCATTAAAAAATATAAATTAAAAAATGAAAGCACACACACAACTTGAACCAAGTGTTTTCTGCTCTAAATTTGAACATTTTGACGTGGAAGTCTATGGAGATCGACTCTTTTGGAGGTGGCCTCTAGTGGGCATTCGAGTAACTGCAGTTTTTGGCTGCTGCATACTCCATCAGGAGGAGGGACATGCAAGGCAACAGAAGGTCCACAAATAAATATAAGGAAAAAGTCTTAAGAACCATGAAAGAAGTAAGACTCTGTAAACGATGTGTCTTCATAATTTGTATTGGTTAGAGGATGATCAGTCAAACTATCTACCTGTCGCTGTTTGTTGATGTGATAATATGGGATTCAATACTCATCATAGCTATATATTCTTGACACAGCATTAATTTAAAGTAAATATATAACTTGTCATGAACAGTGTTAGGTTCGTTTGACAGAGAAAACAAAGTAGAGCAAAAGGCTGTAACACAGAACAGACAGATGATGCATCTGTGTCACATGTCACATTTAATCGACATCGCTTTCACAGCTCTGCAGTATGAATTCTTCATTTTGTTAGATGTTTGTTGTCTCCTCTAATCTCTCTTCTAATAACCTCCTCTTCTCCACTTAGAGTAGACAAAGTGAGGAATTTGTCTGCATTTACCTCCTTTTTCTTGTTTCTTTCTTCCTGCGATTATGATTGTGCTCTTCACCCTTATTAGTTTCACTTGTCTTCAGTTTAATTCTTTCTGTGTTTTTACATTCCTGCTTCTCTGTTTTAGCCAGATTGTTGCTTTTTGTTTGGACTGTTTTATTTTCATATTGCAAATATTATCCCCGCCTTTTCTTCCACAGTACATGCCATTACAGTGGCTCTATTAAACTTTTCCTTATTTTATCTAAAATACGGAAACACTGCAAAGACACACCAGACAGTTTTCACAAAAGTGTGGGAAGTGAAAAATCATCATCAAAGGAGAGACTGCTTGCCATCAAAGTAAAAGCAGTGTTGGGGAGTAACGGAATACATGTACCGCCGTTACGTATTTAGAATACAAAATATGAGTAACTGTATTCCGTTACAGTTACCGTTTAAAAAGGTGGTATTCAGAATACAGTTACTTTGTTGAAATAAATGGAATACACTGGGGTACTTTCCTGTTTCATTTTGTCGCGGGTCAGGACTGTTTGGGTTTTGTTTGACAGCTACGTTCTGTTGTTCCAGGCGGCAGCGTTACGGTTGCCATGGTTACAGGGCGACGCTCTCTCTCTCTGCGACTGTGTGTTTCCTGGGTGAGAGAGCGCCTTTTCGTTGTTGTTGTTGTGCTAAGCTAACAGGCAGAAAGCTACAAGCATAGCTCTAAAGAATGTAGCATCATGTTCAGTGTAGTCCGTGCTGCTGGGAGAATGCACTGCCATACACGTTATGTGTCTGTGAGCGCTAGGAGGGAGAAAAAGGGGAGTGGAAAGGTACGAGCAGTCATCGAGCAAAAACGGGAGCTGGAAGCATGTAAATATAATAACAACCACTGCAGCCAAGAAGAGTGCCTGACGAGCCCAGTTGTAAGTAAGCTATTAAGACTCGACTGTACACTGTGTTCGTGTTTTCCTCCGAAACAACAAGTTCCGTTGGAGCAGCCTTTCAACGCCTCTCTCTGTCTGTTGCAAGAAAAGTTGACCCACACAACAAAGTAGAGCTATTTTTCGGCTACCAGCCGACAGGGACCCCGCCGTATTATGCTGGGCTTACACTGTGCGATTTTTTCAGTCGCGCGATTCAGCTCCTGCTCAAACTGTATGATTGACTGGCAGGGGTTAGAAGTTCATAGGTCACCATCACACTATACGGCCCGATGCTCTGATGCGACCTGAGTGCTCACACTGTGCGTCCATAAAAATGAAGGTTATAACAGAAATTCTGTCGCTCGCTCTCCCTCTCCGTCTTTCACTCACACAGACACACCACCACCACCATCAACTTTGCTAAATTGCTAATGAAAAACATTGGTCAGGCAGCTGTGATTGAGCAGCAGTGTCGATCCAACTATTTTCACGGTTGTTGTGGTCGTGATAATTTTGTGAGGCCACATCGAAAGGGCTCGGATGGTTCTACAGGTTGTGCCTCCATCGCTTGTGTCCAGATCACACGCTGCACTGCCGTGCTACGCCGTCTTTTTCGCTGACATTTGTGTTTGCGCGTGCGCAGTGTGGCAAACTGCGGTGACACCCTCACGACCAAGCGATTGATGATCGGGAGCTGGTCGTGAGGTGTCAATCGCTTCTCGTTACCCCACGTATACTACACGATGCACGACGCACGATGAAGGCCAAAATCGGGCCGATCGCCAAAACGATCGCACGACTCAAAAATCGGCTCAAAATGGGCCAAAAATCGCACAGTGTGAGCCCAGCATTAGTCAGAGGTCCCTTTACTACAGTTCGGAGTCGCGGACCTTCAGTAATAGTAATAAATCACACAGCAATAGTACATTCACGTTATTGTAAAAAGCATGATAATATTGTAGCGGGTCAGGGCTGTTCGGGGTTCTGCTTGTACAGTTATGTTTTGTGTATGTTGCCATGGTGACGGGTGACGCCCTCTCGCTGCGACGGTGTGTCCTTCCGGGGTCAGAGGGCGCCCTATGTGTGTTGTGGTATAAATAAACGGCTGTGCTCCCTGGCTAGCTCACGGGAAGCAAGACCAAACGATACCTCCGTCTCCTCCTTGTCTGAACTCGCCACAATATATTAAGTAATCCAAAGTATTCAGAATACGTTACTGTCATTGAGTAACGTAACGGAATACGTTACAGAATACATTTTGGGGCATGTATTCTGTATTCTGTAATGGAATACATTTTAAAAGTAACCTTCCCAACACTGAGTAAAAGTTGCATCTTACATTGAAATCAACACGTTTCCAAACACGCAAATTGTACTTTGAAGGTGAATGTGTCCATTTTCCATTCTGGTGGTTGTCTCAGAGTTTAGAAAAAAACTGGACATCTTTAGATTTGTGAAGATGTTTTGGGTCCCGTTCAAGAAGCTTCCTCGGTTCTACAGACAAGAAGTTGAAAGTATTTAACCCCTAGTGGGGGTTATCCTCTTTGGAGGTGGTTTTGAAGGTTGTTGGCTCACTATTGATCATATGGTAATATAATCAATAGTGGCCCACAGTATGAAAAAAGCTATGGGTCATTACTATCACTGTGGGTTAAGAGTGAAACCAATATGAAATCTTGCCCTATACCCACATGTGACCTAACCTGAGGTGACGTGTGACTCGGGGGAAGGGAAGGCATCTAGAGTCTGCATTGTGGCTGATAGTTTGTTCCATAAGACACCACTTCTGTTTAATGATGTTCTTCAAAATGGACAACTAACTAACTCACCAGTTTATGGAGAAGTATAGATATTTCACTAGCAACCAGTGGTCGCCAGGGAGTCATCCTAACCTTAACTGAGTATCTAGGCCTCTGAGACCGAAGCCTAAAATGTTAAAAGATCAACTTTTGTATTGTGACTTTAAGGTAGAAAAGTTGCCTTAAAAAATTCAAGACCGGTCTCTATGAGTTTCAAGCCACAAGGGTTAAAATGAGTACCCACTATCAATGCCAAAGAGGCAGCACGTTTGATGACACCCAGGTATTTGATTTTCTCAGGGTTCAGGAATGGCGGGTAAAGAATTGGATATGAATTGGTTTGGAGAGGCTTCAAAATGGAAGCAAGTCTTAGTTACAGTAGTGCCTTTTTTTTCCTTGTGTGTCTCAAAGAAATACTGTTTAATTCATGAAGAGAATACTTTTGGTAAATTTCATGTAATTTTTTGCTCATTTCTGCTCCTCTTTATGACTGAGGTATTATTTTGTCCTTAACTTTTCCTTCTCAGAGGAAATAATAATGTCTCCTGTTGTCTGCAAGTGATCCTCTGACGAAGGCCGCTGCAGCTGAAATGCCAGAAGTTTGTGATTTTAAATTTAAATTAAGACCTGAACCGGTCACTCATTCACTGGAGAGAAATGCCTTTTCTGAAAAACAACCCAAGTTTCCCCACCCAAAGGACATTTCTCTACATTTACTCGTTTTTGTTACATCTCAGCTGATCTCTCTCTCGGACTGCTTCTCTCTCATACAGATATATGTAGAGTTATATCTTGAAAAATCCATATATCTATGTTGTGTGGATGAAAGGCTCCTTTGGCACATAGTTAAAATGACTCATGAGTTTAATTTTAACCCGAAATGGGAACCGCACCGATGCCAGCAGTCATTCTGTCACAGCGATCGCCTCCTGTTATTTAAGTGGTGGAATCTCGCTGAGAGTTTATTAATGCAGGAAAACATTCAGCATGTGTTGAAAAGCCGTAATGTGTTGTTGTTGTCATGATTGGTTTACAGACTTGTTGGCTGTGCCCAAACACCCCTACGCCGCCATGGAGAACTGGGGCCTGAGCGTCTTCGTGGAGCAGAAGATCCTGTTAGATGCAGACGTGTCGTCCTCATCCTATCAGATGGAACTCACCATGGTGGTAGTCCACGAGATTTGTCACCAGGTAGGCAACGTACCTGATGGCTCAGACATTATACTACCATTCATACTGCGAAGGATTGTGAATATACTATAGAATATATACTATAATGTCATTTAAGAAAGGTATTATTCAGACTGTAAAATTTCATATGATTGGAGATCATTGATTGTAACTGATTTCTTAACACAGTGTTCATAAATACTTACTAACTAGGATTATGAGTATTGGTTGCACAATATAATATTTTGCACAAAATAATCTTTTCAGAAATGTTTACTCTGTCTAGACACATTTTTGTACAAATGGTGCAGAAACAATACATCTGTAAGCCCCATGAATCACATTTTCCTACTCTTTAGACTACATAATCTATGATAACTGCATAATTTCACCTGCTCATTGTCCTAAAGATGTTTCCTAAAAATGTTTGATGTCCTCACCACCTGTTTAATAGCTACTCCTTGAAAAAAAAAGATTATTTTCATAAATTTAAACCTTTTTATCTCACTGAAGTGAATTTAGATCAACTAGAAATGATGGATGAGAGCAGATTATTTGGATGCAGCGTATAAGAGAGAGAATATATAAATCCTTTTTAAAATGTATGTATTATTGAGTCTGACAGGAGGCATTTGCTAAAGAGATTGTGATAGCTGGGATCATGTAATTCTGGTTTTAGAAGAATAAGGTTCCCCTGACTATATTAGTCATAAAACTTTACTAAAGTTGAATGAATGCAATAAAAAATCATTTGTATATTTGCAATTGAAATATGGAGGGATTCACGCTGGCTGACAGAGCCAAGTTAAGGACATGCCCACTCGAATTAAAGATGTTTCATACTCAATATGTGGGCTTCACACTTTTCGCCGAAGATGTAAACCTCATGTGAAAATGGAGCACAAGCACACAAAATGATGGGTTTGATGAAAAAACAAAACAAAAAATCCCCCAAAACCAAAAAGAAAACAGCAGGTGGTGACAATTTTGTTATAAACTGAGTTCATTCATTCCTTGAACTGTTGGCAGACAAAGAACAGAATTTTCTTTCATTTAAATGCATCCACTGTGAGCTTAGTCACATGTCTGTTCATTAGTGTCTCATTCTGCTATAATGTGGTATTTTGTCATAAGCCATAGATTCAGGCTGACAGAAGCTGACTATGCTGGATTGCTTGTCTTAGTGAAATAAAATTGAACTACTAGACTCAAACTGGTGGCTCGGGTTAACCTGTTAGCACAGAATTATGTAAATCTGATGTGCAAAAGACACTCACAGCTGTTGGAAGTTAAAATGAGTGCAGACTGGTCAGTAATTGGTAGCTTACTTCTGGAAAAACAACATTAAATGTCACCACACCTGTTGAGGACCAGGTGTGTCTGATATGCAATAAAGGACATAAATAACACTGAAATACTAATAAAACAAATGATTTGAGTATATCTAAGAATTGTCATCACCTGCTGTTCATTTATTATGGTATGAATTATACGTATTGTGCAAATAATTCTTAAAACTTCATTCTTCATTAGACTCGGTTTGTCTTGTTTTGTTGCTTATGAGGATTGCAACCATATATCTCAATTAAGTACACAAAACACTGTAGGTGGACTGATGGTGAAGAGATGAGAAGAAAATATGATTTTTTTTTCTCTTCCCATCTGTTGAGGGAGCTTGTCAATATTCTTACATGAAAAGCCTCATGCAGGGAGCAATAACAGATAAGCCATTAAGTCAGAATGGCATGACATGACATCAGCATGAAACAAAGAGTTGGGGTGAAGGTGGGTTGCAAAGTGGCTTACAGATAATTCGACTCAGGAATTATATAGAGATCTTGCTTAAACTGGCTGTTTTCCTTGTTTTCCAGCCGTGAGCATGACGCTACCACCACCATGCTTGCCAGTTGGTGTTCATAGGTTTAAAAGCCTCACCTTTACTCCTCCAAACACAACTTGAAACTGTAGCCATTTGGCTTGTCTAAGTAGGCATTCTAGTTGAGCCTGAAAGGGTGAACTTTGAAGCAGGGGCTTCTTTCTTGGTCAGCAAGAAATGTTTGGATTATGCTTTAATTTTAAAAATGTATCTAATTTGGTCATCAAAACTAATATCTTGTTTGCATTTTGTAAAATTTGTTTATTAATAAATGAAAGTGTATTTAGAAAATTTGATTTTTGTGAATTTTGGACATTTTATGTCTTGTAGTCTGAAAAGAAGAACTAAAAGCTCTAAAAACAATGTCAATCAATTTACTGAAAATGTGTTTAACATATAAATGCAATATTTACCATTTTTCGTTCGACTTCATGAACATCCAGGTGCATGTTAAAAATGTCTTGTGACTTTCAAAGGACTCTGCATTCTTTGCAAAGGAAAACAGGCTGTTTGTGGGTATCAGACTTGTCATAGTTTATGTGTCTGTGTATTTCTGAAAGCTGCTCAGGATTTAGCTCAGAGGTGTACATTTCTCACCACTCATGCAGGCAGGGCGGCACACCAGCATGAGGGTTTAAATAATGTTCATAAGATACAAATGTTCCTTCAGAGAAAGTGACCCACCTACAGAGGCTAAATTTGTTGATATGTTATCGTGCTGAGACTGAAACAAACCCCTGTGGCTCAGCCCGAACCCATGAGCTGCTGCGATATCACTAGTGGTCTTTTATATTCAACTGCATCAGTCTGACATGAAAAAGGGAAATAAAATTAATAGTGAACATTGACATGAAACACAAGTTAAAAATTAAAAAATAAATTTTCCTCTAACAAATGCAAATGGTCTGGTTATGAACACACCAAATGTGACAGAAGTCAAAATGACTTCAACGGCTACACCAATGAGCTCTGTGTTTGTGTGTGCGTGTTACAAATTTCCCCGGGCAACAACAAAAGCAGAGAGGATGATCCTGTTTTTACAGTATGACATCAAATACGTGACGAGCAGACAAACACGATGAAGCAGAAGGAAATTTAAAGGTTTTAGTCAGAAAAGAGAAAGAGGGAGGGAGTGTGACCAGGCGAACAAGCTTAAACAGCGAAGACAGACGTAGTATGAGACGGAGAGAGAGAGAAAAAAAGTAGAGCGTAGGAGACGGAGAAACAAAGAGGCGCAGAAACAAAGTGATGGAGAGAAAGAATGGAAACGACATCCGTTAAAGAAGAATAAAGGATACGAAAAGATGAACAAAGACAGAAAGAGAACAGAGCTCTGTAAAAAATACCCAAAACATTCAGCCTTATTCTCATTTACCAGTGAGCTTTATACAGACCTACAATATTTGCTTTTTATACACTCAGCACCCAGGAAGTGTTCTTTTCAAAATCTCCAGTTTAAACTAGGAACATATTCAACATTTATATTAATCCGGGTAACCATATAAAGCTAGATTTAAACTTAAAGAATTAGCATTAGCAGACACTGATGATATTTCACCTGTAAGATAATGACAGCAAAAACTAAAAATTACGCACAGTACAGTGTTGCAGAGTTTTATGTACATTGCAGAGGTGTTTCTTCAAAAGAGAAGAGTGAAAAAATATATGCAAGCGTTTTATGTTTTGTCTGTCTATCCATCAATAATATGCTTATGTGATTCAGGGTGGCGGGGTGTGGGCGCCGGAGCTTATCCCAGCTGCTGAAGGGCAAAAGGTGGTGTGCACCAGGTCACCAGTCTATCACACTATGGGCAACTTTGTGTTACCGGTTTATAGCAGTGGTCATCTTGAGGCTGTTATGCATTGCAAAGATCCTCCAACATTACTGAAAGAAAACCAATAATCAAACATTGTTATTCAGTCATAAGAATCAGAATTATGGAATAGGGACAACTCATTATCAGTCAGAATTTAAGGCCAATTTAAGAGGTGTTAGCTATACTTTTTTTGTGTAGTATTCCAGCAAATGAAGTCACATGAACTTAACATAGTATATCCAATGAATGAGCTCTTCTCTACATTAAAGTAGTTCAACTTCAACAGATTGAGTTTATGAACCTGAAATGATAAAAGTATTAAAACTTAACTATGATTAGCCAGGGGTTGGCTTCATCAGGTGGGGACCTCCAGCCTCCAGGGTCTTGTTTATGAATGACTGAAGAAGGGACCATGAGATTGGAGCATCTTTTATGACAGAGCATAGGGTAAAGCGAAGTTGGTGACTTAGTCTACAATCTCCTTTACTACCCTCACCTATGGTCACAAGCTCTGTGTAGTGACCAAAACAATAAGATTCTAGATATACGTTTCCTTCAAAGGGTGGCTGGGCTCTCTGGGGTGAGGAGTTCAGTCATTTGGAAGAGTCTCCGAGTAAAGCCACCTCTTTACAAAGGAGGCAGTTCAGGTGGTCTGGGCGTCTGACTAGGATACCTCACAGATGCCTCTGATTGTGGTGTTTTGGGCATGTCTTACCAGAAGGAGACCCCAGGACAGACCAGGATTCACTGACAAGATTATAACTCTCAGCTGGTTTGGGAATGACTCTGTGTTCCCCTGGATGAGGTGGAAGAGGCGGCTGGGGTGAGGGAAGCCTGGGATTCTCAGCTTCTCCTTCTGGTTTTGTGTGCAGCACCAGCTGTGGGACTTCAGTGTGTGTGTCTCCTAGGTCCCAGCACACTACAGAATAACAGAAGTTCATTAGTAAATGCAAAGATGGTGTGCCAATCACCTGGCACTGCTAGAAGTAAAAAAAAAATAGTCCCATGATTCTTTGTGTTTGTAATTTCAGAACTGTTCCTTACTTAAACATGCCACATGGAAATGATGAATTCAAACAAGGATGAACAGCTATAGTGTAAACAACTCAATATAAGTACACCAAAACAATGTAACACAGTTAAATGAAATAACATTGCTGTATTTACAGTGCGAGGCTGAGTATGAATTTTACTGAGGAGCAGAGAACAGCTTGTCATCTTCCAATGATCACAATAAAAAAAAATTGGAGGCTTCTAATCCTTGAAGTTCTCATTTTTAATTAAGATCTTCTTGATGCTGTTAAGCTTTATACATCTAAGAGAGCTGA